TGAAAAAAAAACGCAAACAAATACATAATTTCGATAATAGTTCGGCGAGATCATCTGGAAAGTTGTGTATAACATGATGCATTCTACGGATGCAGTGACGATATAATTATAATTGATTACATATTCTGTTACAAGAATTTCGCACTGAATCAAATAACTATCTCGGATCCGATAGATTACTACTAAAGATCCGAGAAAGTGATAGAAAGGATACCGCACTGCAGAAGTACCATAAACACCAGAAAAACAAATGGAATATGGAAATAGCAAAAAAACCAGAAATGAATAATTATTTTTGCACGGAAAATGCTCTGATACTAAAAGGGAAACTAGAAACATCAACTCAAATTAAATTGACCACAAATAAATTTAATTATCATTACGATTAGAAAAAAAAAACACTCCTATTTAAGAGACCCAGTACAACCTAATTATCGAATTTCTGCAATTTGAAATGATCAAATGAGAAAAAGATATGACAAAAGTTATTTCTGACAATAAACTAGAACATCAGCGCAACATGCAGGATGTAAACATAAATATTAGCGTGCGATACCTGAAGAGAACAACCTTTCCAAATGCTATAAAAAAAAAAGACAACAGTGCACGAAATATTTTATTGAGTCTCTTCATTACGTCTTCTTTCTCCTTTTGATCTCTTCGATCCGGCTTTTTATCTTAACGAGTACAACGAGTACGAAAACTGGAATGGAAGTGCACTGCTGTTAACTAACATATAACTGAGTTAACTGCAAAACGGAATGGAAAGACAGGAGAATACTTGTGTATTAGTAGATAAATTTTTAGATACAAATGTGTTATTACATAAATTTTTAGATACAAGCATAAAATCTTTAAAGTTATTTTGAGGAGGCTATCCTATCACTAAGATGAAAAAATAAAGCAAATAAAATAATCTACAATCTACAAATTTGCGGCGTGAACTCATCAGGCCAAAAAACAGAAAAACAAAAAAAAAACCCAAAAGTTTAAATAACTTTCCATAATGTAAATCACGCCGAACGTTATAGATTCTGAATTTGTAAAAATAATATAGCTTCTGAATTTGTAAAAATAATATAATAAGCAAGAAAATCCTATTACTTTGAAAAAGCAATGGTATGTGCACGGAATAAATCTGAAGTGTAACACTGCTTATTAAATTCTTAACTGCTTATAAAAACATATGATAGTGCTTATTAAATTTTTTTAAAAACATTAGATCAAGAAAGATCAGAAATCGTACATTTTTTTTGTTAATTATAATTTTCTTCACAATTAATGATAAACAGCAAATATCTTACCTAGAACTATTGAAGCCTGTTAAGCTTCAAAAAATTTGAAGAAGTAAGCAGACAAAACAAATGACACTAAAACCTTCTTTAAAATAAAGCTCTTAGCGCAAACGTGTTTGCAACATGTCTACTTGATATATACCATATTTGATGTATGTTGATACTATATACAAATAAAGTGAAGCAAAAAAGGGCAGTAAAAGTAAAGAAAAATAGAATTACTTAAGATCTGTTAAATAAATCTCAAAAGTCATATTAAAAAGGAAATGGGAGTGCCACAGAAATGAAATAAAATCACAAGAGCACTTCAATAAGAAGTACAGAGAGTGACCTATTTAAATACTGCAAAAAAATTATACGACATATCAATTGTATTGTACTTGACGGCACGCTGCAAAAGAAACGAAAAAAAGTTCACAACAGCTTTAAAAATATTTCAAATAAGAACTTCAAAAAACACGAAAAAATGCTTCCGTGCTTAAATTACCAGTCCTACAATAATACAAGATCCTTGTAATCCATTTTCTGCTATGCTTATTTTCAAACAAGCAATAAGTTGCACTTTTGCAAAGAAGAATGTACAAAGTGCTAGAAAATCTAAAATATTAAAAAATTTTAAAAATTCACAGAAATTCTATGAAAAAATGCTGCATGAGGAACTGGCAGCGTTTGGATGCCTGAAATATCAGGTCTAAATCCAAAAAAAAAACTTGCAGTCATTCTCACTCAGCCTGTTATGAACTCGGCAATGCAGCAACAAAATGTAGTGGCATCACTTGTAAGCTGGAACTGCACTTATTCCATTTTGGTGTCTCATCCCCATGCCGTGGCATCTCCATTTTTATGACTTCTGTAATCAATGATATAGACTGCTCATCACCTGAAATTATCTAATTGCTTGAAACTGAAGAACTTTTTAAATCATATCATATGCGATTGATTATCCAAAATGTTTCGCAAATCAGAAGAAAGTCATAGTTTTCAACTACTTTAACATCTATTTCTGGAAATGCACCACTGTTTGGGAGACATTAATCTTTGTTATTTGAGTTCGACATAACTGCTCGTTACATGAACGACACGACTTCTACATTTACACACAATATCATCGTTCATTAAAATTCTAACCAGAACAAGATGACGACGATGATGCTTCTTCACACCATATAAAAGGTGGCAACGGTACTACTTTTGCCTGAGGCGATTCACTGAATTTTGCGCCCGCAAAGTTGACAACATCTGCTTGCTGTTGCCGTCGAATATGTCGTGCTAACCCTACAATTCTTTCCATATTAAGCATTTGGAGAGAGAACATTTCATGATAAACGTATCAAATAAAATGGAAATTGCCGCTAACTTGCTACAAAAATTGACACATTTTCTCCTGTGCCAAGAGAAGAGATTTCCAAATATTGAAAAAAAAATTAAGACCATTTTATGTACTTCACATCTTTCAATAACTGTAAAACTTTCTTTCTTCATTTTTAGTATCTAAAGATGTAACAAAAAAACTCCTGCTTAGAAGAACAAAACTCCTGCCCTCCCCACAAAAAAAAAAAAAAAAACATAAAGAACAATTTTTTACGAAAATTCTTGTAAAAGAATGAACTAAAGCTAACTGAGAAAACCATGCATTACACAGCAAAAATCACTTCTCTCTGTTTTTCTTTTCGGCGTTGTATCAAGAGAAAATAGCCCTTTCTGAGAGGCACTCTTATATGATGACATATCTTTTGAAGGTGATTGCGGTTGGAACGTGTTAGTGGCTTCTGGCGCACTCGAAGAGAAGCATGGAGTTGCTATCATGGAAGTAGGTACACAAACCTCCGTTGATAAAGGGGATGTTAAATGTTTAGAATTTTTCGCCACTGATGTATCCATAGCTGGCATAGAAGTTGATGGATCAGATTTCAACAATTGTTTTGAATTATGATTCTTCTGCTCTAAATTACCACTATGTGTATATAATGGATCCTTATATGTACCGGGTTGATGATGGAAATGTTCTGATATCTGAAAATAACAATATGAAAAAATTACCGCTAAAAATTAAAATTTATAGCAGAAATCAATGGAGTCGCTCGAATATTATAGCTCTTCAAGTAATAAAATGTCTGTGAACTTGGATTTTTTTCTCCTAAACAAGCCATTTGAAAAAGAATACAATCTGGAAAATAAATCTGATGATTGATATCATGCAAGATTTTAATAGCAATTGGTGTTATTGGTGCACTTGGAGAACCATTTGGGAAAAGCAAAGTAAGCGAAACCGATGACACTGGAGGTGGGATTCTTGATTGCATTGGGTACATGACTCCCGAAGACATTGGATGCATGATTCTTGTTGGCACTGGATGCATTATTCTCGATGACATTGGATGTATGACTCCCGATGACACTGGATACATGTTGCCTTTTGTTGCTACAGCTGAAGTGTGCATGAATATTCAATTCAATGTAATGATTTCAATATGCTATTTATCAAATTTTATTGTCATAATTTTGTAATCGTATTTATTGTAGTATGATTACAAAAATTATTAGAGAAATAAAAAAAAGAATACGCCACTTAACATATTCTTGAATCGAACGGCAAGTACTTACATATCAGAATGCATCCATGAATGTTAGTAAACACAATGTATCCCGTGGCAGATATACAGATAAGAAAGAGATGCTCTTTTCCAACGAAATCAATTACTGAATTAACAACAGGACTCTTATAAAGACGCTGTCCAATATAAATCAAAAATATGAAACGAGAGGTAGAAAGAAGTGAGCTGAAATAAAAATAAACGTCAACGCGCTATTATTTGACTCTTTCGATTCAATCTTTTATTCAGCAATGAGCGTCTCGACAACTAACTCTTTCTCCACCTACCAAACCTCATCATAAAATGATAAATTGACCATATGAGCTTAGTTTCCTTCTATTTATATAAGTTATATGACGCATAGGGAAACATAAAGTTCAACAACTTTATATGAGAATAAAATTCGTAGGGAATGTATCCTACGTAACCTGAAACATCAGTCTTCATAATAACACAAGAAACAAGCTAACCTACATTAAGCACTTTTTGTACACTTAATGCGTGAACACACTGGAACTGGAAAGAAACCTCTCTACTGTTTAGTCGCCAGCATTTCAGTGCTATTCAAGACAATACAGATCAATTAACTGATAACCCAAAGCACAGTCTAACCTCACTCACTATTGTATTGTTCTCAATTGAAGCTCATTATCCACAATAAATTAATATAAGATTACATTGTGAAATAGATCTATTACTTGTCACTAATAGTATCACTCCCGATCGTAGACACCAAAATATACCTATGCGGAAAAATTATTTACAGTATATTATGGATGCATGATATTAGTGAGATTTGATAAAGGTGTGAAATAGTAACAACGATAATTGACTGTTATAAATATATAGTGGAATCCCCTCAATCACTATTGTCAACCACCAGTAACAACTGAACATAAAACTGGCATTGCCATTTCGAAATATATTGGCGATCGCATGTGTACTGTAGCGCTGCATCATGCACCGTGCATATTCTAACCGCCTGGTGATGATTACAGTATACTTGATGTTTGCACTTAAGTTAAAATTAACATGAAGTTTTCGAAATACATAAAGAAAAAAAGCAGTTGAATTAATTATTAGAACTAAAATTCGTAGTTATCTTTCTATCTAATTTAGTGACTTCACAAATCCATATAAGAGAGAAAGGAAGAAAGGAAATCTGGTGGCCTATATAACATGTCAATACGTTGATGTTGTCAGCATCATTTTGTAATTGCTAAGATCTTAACATTTAACCAGTAGCGCTTATGCAAATATATTAAATAATAGCTATAAATCAACAAAAATTCCTCGCGAAAATAACAGTGTCGAAAAGAATGAAGCCAATTTGACGAAAATCATAATCATATATTTAACTGAATTCAGCTTTATGGTGACTTCATGTTAAACTGAAGAAATGATCAAGACCTACAGTTAACAACTATTTGCACGAACAATATAATAAAAATCGTCAAACAACGCAGTCATGCTTGATAATGTCTACTGACTGAGATTGATTGCCCATTCATGTGATCAAGTGGACTTTCTATTTCAACCAATAAAAAACAAGAATCCCATCACTGTAATAATATGTGGTGAACTCTGTGACCTTAAGAATTGAAGACCAGAAATAATGGCATTTATAGAGAAATTCAATGAATGTAAACACAAAAACATAGAACTTATAGCAGAAAGATATGTCAACATGGAAAGTATCCGTTTTCACTTTTACGTCAGACTATCCACAATGCATAATCGCTTACACTTGCACAATTACTGCCATTGAAATCACGTGAAAGCATTGTATCTACGTCAACTACGAGGATTACTTGCAATGTACTTCAAGAGTTAGTATTCTATTTAGCTTAGTAAAATACTTCACGATGTCATCGAGCGCATACACCTGCCAATACCGACAACAAATCAGTGATCAATTCGCGCCAGCAGGGAATGTATTGATTAGAGATGACGAAATAGCCTGTAATATAATAGAGTCAGACATCGTACAAACAAGGGACGAATAAAGAGTACACGAAATAGGATGAGATATGAAAAAAATAACAGTCGCAGAGTAGGATGGATCAGAAATTGGCTGGTTGACGATCGATAATTCAGATGTATATACGTATGTCTGTATGTATGATGTCTGTATGCATATCTGTCTGTATGTATATCTCTCTGTTTGTCTGTCTGTCCGTATGCATGTATGTATGTGTGTATGTGTGTACGTGTGAAGGCACGGCTAACTGACAGCGCCGATATGTACGATATTTCGTGCTCGCGAAAATCTGAAGCTTCAATAGTAATGAAAATGAAATATCTCCCCCGCTCCCTCACTTCCCCGTTCTACTATTATTATTATTATATTGGGGTCGTGCATTCTGTAATGAATCGATCAAAAGCGAACATTTAAAAATCAAAACACTTTACAGCAATGACAACACTTTCCGCTTGAATATCGCTCATAACGAGTAAAATATCATCGTCCTTTTCGTGTTATTTTTATTTGACAATATACCATTGCATTTGATCATGGAACAACTAATCTAACTGCCTTACACGTGTTTCACGTCAAGCTAGACGCTCAAAATTTAACATAAAATCAGTACTTTCATTTCTTTGATAGTGTGAATGTGAGTTTTGCTAATATAGTGTAACTTACTTTGATGAAAAAAGAAAACCTTGATGGAATATATGTTTATTACTAATGACGTAATCTGAATTAGCTTCAATTTCGTGTTATTTTCGTGATTTTTCATTTAAATGTAGTTGTAAAAATAATTTTTAGGTGATAATCTCTGTTCACGAGATAAGAGAATGAACAAACTTTGGAAGTGGTTCACTGGAAAAAGGGATGAGTGCTCAGTTACTTATTCTCGATTTGGTATAGCTGGTGAGCGTTATGTGTAATCTTTTAATCTTTCTCTTTTAGTACAACATTATTACATCCTCACTATCTTCACTATTCGCGCGCATTTGTATAATTACTAAATCTTTTAGTTGAATTGTCATGTTCCTATGGCTATTAAGATTTGTTTGCGATAAATATGTTTGTGAAAGTACAACTTTTCATGCTTGTTTTTTCGTTTCTTTGATTTAATAAATAATTCCTTGAATGCAAACGGTTCAGCTCTCTATTTAATTATACGCTTAGGTGATATTTTGGACGACCGTCCGCGACCATCAACTATTTATATCGCAGAATTTGATGATAACGATCCGAAATTTATATTCTTTAAGCTTTGTCATGCTCAAAAAGCTGCTGCGGTGAGTTTTTTATATTCAACAAAATAGTATAGTTGAGTAAGTGTGTGATAGTTTTTCTGATGACAAAAACATCAGTTGAATTTGAAGATGACAAAAACATCAGTTGAATTTGAATATGTATGTTTCAGATTGTTGCAGCATTTGGTATGTCATTTATCATTCTCATTTTCATATCTGTATTTTTTGAATTTGATTGGTACAATCACAAGACAGGAATCGATATCATCACATTAGGTACCTTTTTTGTTGCTAACAGTGTTTCCTTTTTTTTTCAGGACACTCATAGGGATTTTCCCGAATACTCAAATTATCCAATTGTGTTTGATGTACAATTCCACCACTATTGCTGCTAAAAATTGATATTAATATAATTCTCAATAATTATGTTTCAGGCACTGTGTATTTTTTCAGAGACTTCGTTTTAATATTCATTTAATTCGTATGATTTTTTCAGCTTTTCTTTTCTTATATCTTGGGATCGGCGTACTTGTTCATTATCAAGTAATCGCTGGCATCAAAAAACAAGCTTCTTATTATCTTTTACCGTTTATTATATCATATATCATTGCAATCAACACCGAAGTCTTATTTATTTTGTAAGTTTTTTTTAGACGATTGATCTGTAGATATGGAAAGGTTGAAATAGTTTATACCCAGTCAGACTCTTAAAAATTTATTTTAGGTTTCTTTAATTAGGCATCGAGACTGAATTTTCAACTGCTTAATCTAGAATAAGCAATTGCAATTTTTTCGTGCTTTTATCTCATCTTTGATTCAATATTGCCGTATACGAGACTTTCGCTTTTTGATAACATTTTACGTCAAGAAATTTTTTCCTTAACGGTGTGTTGTTTCAGTATTCACATATTATATATACAATATCCGTCATTGGATGATTCTTTCAACGCTGAATCAAACGTTATTTACTTATTTTCAATTATTATGCTGCTTATTACAATATTATTTCAAGGATTCATGTTAAAGGCTGTATGCCAATGTCGTTATTACCTTTCCTGTAAAGAAATACATTTAACTGCATTGAAAGTTGCAGAAAGCAGTGTACGTTATTTGTCGAATCGTCAATTTGTTTGTAATATTAAAGTGTTGTATTCATCTTTTCATTACATTGTAAACAGTATAATAGCATAAGTGAACCAATTTCCTCAGCTTATATGTGGTTTCAGCGCACGAAATATCCTGGAATTCATGTTATTTTTTCTTCGCCAGTACTTAATAGCAGTTATCCGGTAAATAATGCCAACAGTAGTGGAGTAGCTGATGTATCCACAATCGAGCAAGGGATTAATTCGTCATGGTAGCGTCCATTCGGACATTATTTTGCTGATAGTCTCTATCAGTATAGTGCTTTAATCAGAATGATGATCAGATCTTTGAAATTGTCGAATATTTTTCTTTATTATCACCGCGACTTAACATATCCAAACTTTCTATCGTTTGCCTTCATTCGCCTTCTTTTTTTTAACATTGATTTTATCTTTCTATATTGAAGAACTGATAATTTAAAAATTCTGTATTGAATCACATTTGTTTAATGCCTCTCGTTTCAGATTCTACTTGAGAAGCCAGCAAAATCTCAGGATTCGTTTTATTTCATTCCTCATTCTCAACAGCAAAATAATTGAAATTAATCAGAAGCTGATCTTTGTAATTACAAATGTTTGCGTAGAAAAAAGGAAAAAAATGGGTACGTTTTTTTATAATAGGTACATTTTCAGCACTTTTTAGTGCTAATTTTTTAGTTGCTATGCATTTTTCTTCAATTTCCACTTGCGAATGTCATCATAGAGTACCTCGCAAAAAATGTACTTTCAAATGCTCTATCGTTGCTATCTTTTTTGTACAAACTTTCTTTGAGACTCCTATTTTTGTTGTCTTAATTAGAAGTACTGGCAGTTTTAAATGCGTTGTGCTAAAGTGCATTAAACGATGTTTTGTAGTTAAATGCTTATTTTAAATTTTATTACGAGTTCTGCAGTTTTATAGTTTAGGCACACGTTTTCATATCATTGTATGTTTAAAATCTCTACTGTTGTATAGTTGCCTTATTTTACTACTTTATTAAAAAATAAACTGAGTTAAATTGAAAACTTCAAGGTCGAATATTCCATCTGTTCATATCAGACAAATTGCTAGTTATAAATTTTTTCGAAAGCAAAATTCAAAGTAACATTTTGAGGAAAAGAAGAAGAAATGGGGATATACATTTGGTCTTAGTGTCTGACAGTTTTGCTCGTCAACAAATATGTAATTATAAATTATGATTGAAACAATGAGCATTAGCTTCAGAGCATTATTAACTATGAAGTGCTGTTGTCCTACCGAAAACTTACAATTTATTATGATCGTGCATGATTATCTATGAAATACGGTAATTCATAAAGTAGGAGAAAGATGAAAATTCTTTAAAGTTAGCATCTGTTTAAAATTAAAAAAATCCAAATTCTATATGGTAATGTCAGATACTGTAGAAGGGAATATTGGTAAATACTATCATTTTAATACAATGAAAACATGTTGAAATTATGGCAGCGAGGAAATAATTTACATATTCTGTGCATAATGTTACATTTCACTTAAAAATTGTATTATAAACGGGAAGGATGTGATGGCGTTGATATATTAGTATTTAAGTAACAATAACCATCCGGTTGAGGAATAAATGAAAAGCAACAGCAATGACATTTACCATCGCGCAGAACGCAATTTACAGCGGGTATTCTGGTACCTAATATCTGATACAGCAGTGGTTCCACGTATTGATATGCTGGTCCTTTGCTTAATGTTATCAGTTCAGCAGACACGTAGTTTGATACATTACATCGATCTGCTGGTGGCATTACATTTGGATATCTTTCCTAAATTAATATAATATCTATCAATAATTCATTCCTGACAAATTTTATGCCTTGCTAACAAGGTTTAGTGTCATATCAAAAGTCCATGTATATAACATCCAGTTGTTGCTATCTGATTAAATTTCAGATTTAGCTTTCTTTCGAAAGCTTTTTTCTTGGGTGAGGGAGGGGAAGAGGAAGTGGAAACTAAAAGTGCAAACAAAATCCCTAAAAAATATTTGTAAAAGTAATGCAATTAGTTTCAACAAAATGATTGAGAAATCTTGAAGTATCTACATCGATGTTGATAGGAATAGTATAGTATAGTACAGAAAAAAAAGACCAGAAGCTCTCGTAAATCGCTGTCTGAAAGTGGATCGAACACACAAACAGCATCTGATCCAGAGCATGCTTCTGACTCATAAGCTTGAGCGAGAAATGATTTTGACCTCCTGAAAATCCATGTTAAACTATGAAATTATTCCATTTACGGATCTATTGAAGTTGCCTAAAAAAATGAATAATCCAAAGATTGATGCATTGTTAGGTTTAGTTAGGCCTAAGTCTCTATTGAACTTTTGTATGGGAAAAGACTAACTTGCAACATCTAACCCGTCGGCTACATTTGCCACAGTTTTGAACGGTAATTCGTTTATAGAGTGGATGCTCCAAATAGTTGTTCGAATTGTTACGCAAAAAGTTGAGTCCAAATTTGATTACTTTTCTAGGTGGAAGCTGTAAATGGAATCTTTTTCTTAAAAAACTTTTTTCTTTTAATTTGTTTTTCTTCAAAAATTTAAACAATTGAATGTTTCATACAGCTTTTATCTAATAATCTTTCAGCGTGTTATAGAGGTGACAAAAGTCGAACGGTGCTAAAATACCTTAACAAATTGGCTAAGTGAGATCGGATAATTAAATTAATAGGTCGATTGACATAAACAATTTAACAATTGAACATTGCATGATTGAATTTTTGTGAAGTTTTTTGTTTGGTCATATTCAGCATAGGTTATCATCATCAGATGATATGCCATAGTGGTCCATCCATTTATGATATTAATATTTCTAAATGAACTAACTTTACAACCAAAATGTTTCACACTTCTCAAAAAGAGGGTGATTGCATCGGTTAGATCACCGTGCGGTATGATGCACTGAGACCACTCGGATAATTCCTCCCGATGTTCCTCACAACTCATCCCAAATAGCGCTTCATCGCTTACATCTAAAATCATTTTAAGCTATGATTTTATTCGAAATCTTCGCCATACTGATATCATTCTGTCCTCATTCTGCTTCAACAAATAGTTTTCAAACCGCAATGAAAGCTAATAATCAGCTTTTATCACAAATTGTTAACATTTTTTTAAAGAAAATAATTGCAAAAATGAAGGAAAAAATTTGTGGCAGGAATAAATAAAAAAATTGGAATAAATTGTGGAAATTCTATTTACTTCATTGTTTTTAAAATTCAATTTTCAGGATTAATAGTTTGGTGCGAAAAACATTTAATGCAAAATTTCGTATTCCAAACAAATTTTACGTATTACAAAGATAAATATTCCCATAAGATGTTTAAATATCTCGGTGTTTTTCAAATATTTTATGGAAAGGAACATTTCAGTTATCTTCTCAGTGACAAAAATTTTAATAAATGTTTTTTTTTTTGCAGAATGTTTGCTGAATCAACCTCTTGAAAGAAACGACGGATATTACTTAAAAAGAAAAAAAAATTGGAAATCAAAGTTTGCCAAAAAAAAAGTGCAAACAGTATTGACGAGGACAAAATTTGAATACAGTTGGTTTCATCATTGTATTAAACAAGCAAATCATTCTGTCTTCTTCTATAATCAATTTCATACCATTAAAATATGATTGCGATTTTTAGCAATTTCGTTTATTTCAATCCTTCTGTATATTTACATAATAAAATTGCTATAAAGAGAAAAAAATTGAAAATTTTAACGAACCAAAAGTGTAAAAAAGAAGCCAAAGGAATTGAGTGGATAGAATCATTATTGGAAAAGACAAATTTTCCTCCTCAAATGCAAATAATTTGCTTTCCAGCAAAGCTACAAACTAACAACAGCACTAATAGCTTCTTCCATCATAGTTGAATTTTAAAACTGAAACATTAATCTTACTTCAGACTGCATCTATCAACTCATCTCATCAACAACAATCCTCAGTCAATAAATAGTTGCTAAATGAATTCACAAACAGCTGTATGGGCGTATTTTAAAATATTACAACTGTATTTCCGAATTTTACAAACTTTCAATTTGCTACAGAAGTCTTTGGTATGAATGAGGAAGTGTAGCATATCAATGTATATATGATTACATCGTCTGATACACACACACACACACACACACACACACACACACACACACACACACACACACATTTTTGATCTCATATTGCCATACTTCTGTTAGTCTGACATAGAAACTTCTAGAACGGCTATCTCAAGCTAATTCTATGAATAATTAATTCTTTTACTGGAAGACAACAGATGAATTAACCTTAATGAAATTGGTAGCTTTAATTTCACGGCAACACTGATATTTCTTTTCCATTTTGCCCTCGCCTCAATTCCGCTTGTTGATAATTCTGAAGATCAAAGGTGCATAAATGAAATTGTAAAGTGTGTGTGCGAATATTTGTGTAATGAAGAAGTTAAATACATAGTAGTTATATATATTTTATATTGATGTCAAAAGATGCGCAATTGTAGACTTGAAGAGCAGCTATTGTTGGTAAGATTAAAATATGACTTGCAAAAGTTTGATTGCTAAATAGAATATAAAAATATGTGAAGTTTAACTTTTGTTGGATGCCCTACAAAGGTTGACTTTTGAATTGAATTAAAATTTAGGCCCTCATTTGTTAAAACGCTAATTACTTTAATTTAATAAATCTTTTTTGCAATTCAGTAAACCAACAATGCAATTCGTTGTTTTTTTTTTTCAATGTTTAATAATCATTCGTTGATGATCGAGAAAGTGGTCGTAACTGACAGTTTCATTTATTCCGTTTTTTTTTTTTCTCTTCTGAACTCAGTCGAATCATAGTTGTCTGTGTCACAGTTGACCTCTATTTCCGTTTAATCAAGATATATAACCATAGTTTTGTGTTGCAAACAGTTGCATTGAATGATTTAGTGATATTAACATGACAAATGACTTTTTCACAGAGTTCCGGTAAATAAGAAATAGTTATCAAATAAATTTCAATCTTTACAGTACAGATTTGTTACAATATTTGAATTATTTTAACAAATTTATTATACAAAATTACCTCCGATTTTTTCAACATATTCAACAAATGTGAGGAAATGCTCTAAACGATAAGTGGAAAGGAAAAAAAAAAGCATAAAACCGGTTTACATGTACATCGAAATTACGCCATCAGTAATATAATATTGCATTTGTAAAGTACATCACTCGTAATTCATATATGTCACCTCTGTCATTTTTCCACACACAATTACATGCAAACTGGTCCGCTTAATTTGTAATATTGTTCGTGGAATATAATCGTTTACTGTACTCTCATGAAGCTAACGTATCACGTACGTCCAATTCATATTCCACTTCATTTCCCAAAAAATGATATTGCTCTAACATTATTATCTGTTGAAACTGAAAAAGTAACGAATAAATTGGATTAAGTGGAGAAAAGTGTAATATGAATTAAATGAAATCAGACGTTTCGTTGGATCATTCTATTTCACAGTGAAATGATGGAAGGGAGGCAAGAAGGGGAGCACACCTGTCCGATGATGGTCATTTCTTTGGAGTAGGAAATTATGATTGAAAGAGAGCATTTCGTTGGTGATGCATATCTTTCAGGTGACTCACCGAACTTTTTTTATAATTCTCTATGATCTGGCTAATTTAAGAGTTTATAAAGTGAACCTGTTTGATTACACCGTGATATAAGTGTAATACTTCCCGAGATAAGTTTTTCTTATCTCAGAACATCATGGAATGATTTCATTCCCTCATAATTTTTGCTAATGTGTAGATATGCTAATATATATTGAAAGGGAAAGTTAATTTTTCGGAACAATTCATTTAGTATGGGCGAAGAATGAATAGCTGAATGTTGTGGCTTTCTTTTACTTTTTCATCAGTATCACATTACTCATAACACTTTGGGAACGTTATTTACAGAATAAAAAGCTAGATTGTTTTTTTTTCTTGACTTCCACCTTTAAGTACTGTATTTTCTCCTTAGCGCAAGTTATTATTCATGTTGACCTGAAGCGACCTTTATTTTCACTCCTATGCTCACTCTTTTAAGCAGTAGGTGTAAAAAAAAAACACGTTTTGATTTACATGACATCTATTTTGGCTCACGTAAGTATGCCTATCTTCTATTGGATTTATCAGTTGTGTTAACCTCCTGATTGCGTTTTCTGGCTCTCTTCCCATTTTTCGACTGATTTGCGGAGAAAAAGAGAGGATACATTTCAAATTATTTCAAGTCATGGTATTACGCAGTCACTCTGCGGACCGTAAGGAAGAGTGTACTCTCTCTCTCTCTCTCTCTCTCTCTCTCTCTCTCTCTCGACTGGTGTTACCCTCTTTCCGTATTCGTCCGTTCTGCTGATCATTTCGATGGTAGGTGTGAGTCGGTGGAAGTGTCACTATTCTGCTAAGGTCACCCCTTCCGCCGCCCTCTGAGAATAGGAATATGGAGCATGACTTTCTTTGTTCCCGTTTTAACCTTTGTTGTTATCCCACCCGGCACTTTCTCCAGAAATTTTAATCTTCGTCATTTGTTCTGTTTTCCATTGATTGCACTTCATTAGATTTGATTTTTAGCAGGGCAAAGAGGAAAGTGAGAGGCGTGATTATTATTCTAGATATTATCGGTTTTACTTCTTCCAACTGATGAATGACGTCTATCGAAAAGACGACAATGTACGGCTAACAGCTTCTATTCTGGTAAGTTTCTATCAAATCTCTTATTTACTCGTTTCTTTTATGTTGTTTCAAGTTTTCCTTCAAATTATATTGCGAATCCCAGCTAGATAAAATGGAAATTTTTAACCAAATGTCGGAGTAAAGAATTTGCTGAAAGAGTACTAATAAAAAAATTCTGATATTAAAAAAAAATGCAATACGAAAAAAAAAAGATCATATATCCCGGGAGACTCGTGTAGAACCTATTATCGAGATATATTAGGGTGTAGGTATATAGATATTGCTGGAATAGTATAATTATTAAGAAAAGACGTAATATATGATCATTTATGGCATCGAATCCGTGGTTTTGACAATGTTAATTGTGTAATGTATTCTTTAGAACGGAGGAAGTACGAATGGAAAGAAAACCAATGTAGTTGGCAGTGTGGATAAGCGGTATGTGGCCAACAGCGAGCAGCACCCGAAGCCCTGGTATCATGGAAATATCACGCGTGAACAAACTGAAAAGTTAGCTCTTTCTTGTGCTTAATAAATTGTTGGATAACTTTTTAATTAATTTGTCTATAAGGAAGTTCTTTTAGAATAAAATAAAAGCTTCTTTCTTAACCTCTTTCTTTGAAATATATTTCGTTCTCTCTCTATATACCTGTAACACCTTTTTCTAGAATATTATCCGGACAGGCCGACGGAACATTTCTTGTACGCGATTCTACTAACTTTCCGGGTGATTATACATTGTGCATGGCTTTCAGTGGCAAGGTGGAACATTATAGGTATGTTCTTACATATTAGAATGAAGGGAATATATTAATGGGTATATTCAGACGGTAGACAAATTAAATGCTTTTAAATGAATGATTTTTTTTACTGCAAAAAAGTAATGGTAATTGTAACATGATAATTTGCAGGATCTATCAATTAAATGGCATTCTGACATGTGACCACGAAGAAACTTTCGATAATTTGACACAGCTAATAGCGGTGAGCTTGTTGATAGTCTACTATGCTCCAACAAATTTTTTTCTCGGCTTTACTCCCTTCATTTTGCATACTTCTAGCACTACAAACGAGACGCAGACGGTCTATGTCATCGCCTTATAACACCTATAATCAGCGACAAGTACAGAATTACAAGAGATAATGAATCTTTAGAAGAGCGGATACGACTCTTCCGTGGGGCTTCATTAATTATCAGTCGAAATGAAATACATCTTGGAGATATTATTGGTCATGGAGAATTTGGAGGTTTGTATCACATACTGTTCTTTTTTCGCATTTTCATGTTGTGGTTGACTGCATAGCGCATCACTGCTTCAAAATGTCTAAAATTTTTGCTATTTATTAAATATATAGAGGGATAGAGAGATAATGGCACCATTATTGCTGTCTTTTATGGATGGATACCACCTGATTCGATACTTCATGACTATTTAGATTTTTATTGCTATTTAGACGTTCTTTTGGGAGACTACGAAAATCACAGAGTAGCAGTAAAAGTTTTGAAGCATAGTGAAATGGTGCAGTCACTATTGGACGAAGCGAAATTTATGATGTAAGTATGTTACAGAGCATTTAAACGTTTCTAGTGTTTATTGTTATAGAGAAAATGTAACATTATACCGAAATTTATTGGTTTTTCAGTGGTCTAAAACATGTGAATTTGGTGGCTCTGCTGGGTGTTGTCATTGATGACGTTAGAGAAATATTCATGGTGACCGAATACATGGCTAATGGAAATCTTGCAAGTTTCTTAACATACTTTCACATATACTTTTATTCTCATTTTGGTTTTCTGCCAGCTTTATTTCTAGAGAGGTGTATTGTGCTTTGTATACTTCTGATTAGATTCATATGTAAATAAGCCAACTTATAGGTGGATTTCTTGCGTTCACGTGGACGTCACCAAGTGGAGAAAACGCAGTTAACTCAGTTCGCAGTTGATATTTGTGAGGGTATGAAATTTCTGGAAATGAAAAACGTGGTGCATCGTGACTTGGCTGCAAGAAACGTGTTGTTAGATGACGAGCTTACTGCAAAGATAAGCGACTTCGGGCTCGCAAAAGATGCCAATGAGTGCCAGTACACAGAAAGTGCACTCAGCAAATTTCCAATCAAATGGACTGCTCCCGAAGCTCTGCGATGCAGTGTTAGTATTTCATTTCTTCTATAACCGGTCTTAATTCATGTATAAGTTGAAGCAAATCGGCAATAATTTTATTGAATTACTTAAAGGTGGATTATTAAAAACTGCTAGAAATAAAATAACGGTGTATTGACATACATGTACAGATCAGTAAAGGTCTGCTTCCTTACTTTTTTAGTTATTTAACAAAACTTGATTCATTGGGATAAAAAAGAACTATAATTTAGAACACAGCACTTAAAATACTTGTCGAGAGGAATTCATTTCAGAAATTTTCAACGAAAAGCGATATTTGGTCTTTTGGTGTATTGTTATGGGAAATTTTTTCATACGGAAGAGTACCTTACCCTCGCATTGTAAGTTATGAATGTATTGATAATCTTATTTTGATTAAAAACAAATCAACTAAAGCAACCGGAATTTCACCATTTCTTACTGGTTTAACAACAACTCTTGCATCCGATTATTTTTATTAAATAAAAATTAAATGAAAGTAATCAGATGCAAGAGTTGTTGTTAAACCAGTATGAAATGGTGAAATTCCGGTTGGTGATGCTAATGCATCAGCTCGTGGAATTTCACCATTTTTTACTGGTTTAACAACAACTCTTGCATTCGGTACAACAAGTCCGATAACAACTAAATAGTAGTCGGCATTGTAGCACTCATTGCACAAAAACATGGCTGCACAAATCATTCATTAACTTTGTAATTTTGTCATTACTTCTTTAACTGCTTCTTAGAAAAAAAAAACACAAAGATAATGAAAATGAATATACTTGTGCTTTCATGTACTTTATTAACTAAGTGAAGAAATAGGAAAAGTTCAGAAAATTGGTAAGTCATCGAATGAGACTTGACTCAGCATTCAACTGCTATAAACTATTTTTTCCAGCCAATCCAAGATGTTGTGCGGCATATCGAGAAAGGATATAGAATGGAACCACCGGAAGGATGCCCGACGGAAATATCACGTTTAATGAATGATGCTTGGATGCTGGAACCATCTGTTCGTCCCTCTTTCACTATTATATTGCAAAGGCTTAAACTCTTTTATGCAAATATTGTTTCTGTTCTTCATTCATAAACTTAGCAGTTGGATGCTAAAGTTTCGAAAATGATCTGGTAGTTTCTAGTAATTGGCTTAACTCATCGGAATATCATATCTCTTTATTGGTATCTTATTGATAATAGAATTGCTTATGAAATAGTGCCTTTATAAATCTTCAAAAATGCATACTATGAAAGGAACATTGTTGCGCTATTCATTCAATTCAAGATGTAACGCTAGATTCTGATTTCTTTTTCTAATGCTGCTTTTAAGCTATGGATTTAAGCTATGAATATTTTGATAAGCACTGCAAATGAATGAGACTTTATATTTTATAATTAAATGAGAGGAAGAAAGAAAGCCAAGTAGTTGTAGTAGGTAGAAATTTCTGTGCAGCAGTAGATAGAAACCTCATTTATTTATTCTATCTTACTTTTGTTTATACGTAATTTTGGAATTGTTACCGATGGATTGTTATCACCGATTTGTCTTTTAATATTTGAATGTTATCAGCTTTATTATATCGGCTTTATTAGCTGATATAATAAAGTACATCAGCTTTATTCGAGGGCAATCAAGGAATATGTTGACCTTTTTAGACTTTCTCTCAATGATTTGTCGGAATGTTTTTCATAGACCCACGCAGAAATGAAATTTGAATTTTTCTAGAACATCCTCCACTAATAAATGGGACAAGATCTCAGCAACTTCAGCTCAATGATGATTAATTACATCGATATGTTGAGTTGAAATTTCATGTTACTTATTATTGCTATTTTATAGTTGATAGTGCGCGTCATAGTTATAAATTGTTACAAAGCTTTTCCAAGTGCACTTTTTTATTGATGTTTGTCGCAGTAATCAGAAGTAGAATTATGTTCACTAGTGGCTATACACAAATTGTTCGTAAGAAATATTGGAAGATCTGTTCTTGCAAATATAAATCTGTTTTCTTATATGCAGGTATGAATTAAGTTGTAGAGGTTAATCTCACAACGAATTTTCTTTACATGTTTGGTAGTGAGCAGGATTATTGTTTGAAAAAGTTGCTTGTCCTTAGTAATTACTGAGAGAAAAATAAATAACAGCAAGGATATGGCATACTTTAATCATTTGGCTGTTGTGGTCTATTGGAGGAGATGGATTGTATGAAGTTGACCTGTGTATAGAATCGGTGAGCATTTTGACTCGATTTCATTATGTGGTGTTTATGCAGTCATTTAAGAAGTATTGTTGCCAGAATATTGTTATTATGCGATATGTATTTCTTTCGCTTATTAATGCAATGCTATTGCCATTTAATTTCAGTAAATATGTATATAACGATTTTTAAGGCAAATGCATATAGCACGTATATGACGTCTCATGTAGATTATTGTCAATTACATGTTTACATTTATTTGTTAAAGGATTAAGGTCTTTAGTGTGGATGATGTATGTAATAAGTATAATGTGCTTACTTAGAGCCTCGAATGGCACTTCGTGGCTGGGATGTCAAGGATCACAAGCAGTATGTTACTGCATCTATCTGACGTACAGCAACATCGCGATAGTTTTCGTTCATATGTGGCGGCATATGACAGTGATATAGCGGTTCGTTACTTCATTTATGAGTGCGAACTATCTTGTTCTTATTGCCACATCTCGTGTTACACCTATTACTACATGGGAATTACAGGAATTCTGAAAAGAGGAGGCGTCAAACACAGAACATGATGTATTATATTTCCTTTAAAGTGTTTTCTGACAACTTACAATGTGTAGCAATTATAAAACATGAAATTTTAGGTTAAAGAGATTAATGAAGCACCGAATTTCGTTCTCTTGAATGGTAAGTATCAATTCCTATACTGCATGCAGTCTATGGCTGTTATATTTAGTAGCATTTTAAGATGGGTCTTGTTGATTTTCAGGAGAAATAGTATCATCACAATGCGACGATGTGTTACTCTATCCACCCTTCGAGGATAATTACTTCGGAAAGCTTTATTGCACCAACTTTCGCATTTGCTTTGTTCCACTGGCCCGAAAGGTT